CAGAACACTGTAAAATTTTAGTGTTTAGAAGTCCACTCAGTCCTACTTCTTGGCCGGGCAATTGCTTAGAGAAAAATATTTGTTTAGATTTGCCCGCTTCACGTTTACAATGGCACCTGCAAGTGACAACAGGTGTTTCCACAGCACTTTTGTAGCCAGCATTGCAAGGTATCTATGTGTCAGATATGCTAAATATTTGGGTGTGTCTTCATGGTCACCATTCCAGAGGACGTACTTCAGTGCTGATCACAGATGATGTGTCCATGCACCCACACACCCACAGTGTGTGCTACAGAAGCCCCCCTTCCCGCTTTCTTCCCTCACTGCTCGCTTCACTCACCCACAGCGGGAAAGGCACAGGATGGGTGGCTCCAGCCTGTGCAGCACTGCTTTGTGTCACTCTGGGGAGTGCTAGGAAAAGGTGGGAGGGGAGAAGTGAACTAAAGGTGGGGAAAGGCAGGGCCGGTGCTCCCCTTCTTTCCCCTACCACACGTCGCCACTGGTGCTGATGACACTTGTTAAAAAAATAATGTTTTAATTAAATTTGTGACTGAACTCCTTGGGGGAGAATTGTATGTCTCCTGCTCTGTATTACCCACATTCTCATGTAGATTTCATGTTGTAGCAGTCTCAGATGGTGGCCTAGCACGTTTGGTTTAAGAATACTTTCATGGAAGATTTGACAAAACACAAAGATTGCTAAAGAGACGTATGGCACTTGATCCAAGGTTTAAGAATCAGATGTGCCTTCTCAGATCTGAGAGAGGAGGTGTGGAGCATGCTTGCAGAAGACTTAAAAAGAGCCACACTCTGCTGTAGAAACCATAGAATCTGAACCACCAAAAAAGAAAACCAACCTTCTGCTGGTGGCATCTGACTCAGATGGTGAAAATCAACATGTGTTTGTCTGCACTGCATTATCAAGCAGAACACATCATCATCTTGGATGAATATCCTCTGGAATGGTAGTTGACATATGAAAGGAAATATGAATCCTTAGCGCATCTGGCATGTAAATATCTTGTGATGCTGGTTACAACAGTGCCATGTGAATCCCTGTTCTTACTTTCCGGTGACATTATAAACAAAGAGCAGACAGCAATATTGCTTGCAAATGTAAACACACTTGTTTGTCCGAGTGATTGACTGAACAAGTAGTAGGACTGAGTGGACTTATAGGCGCTAAAGTTTTACATTTTCTTTTTTAATGCAATTTTATGTACATAATTCTACATTTGTAAATTCAGTTTTCATGCTAAAGAGACTGCACTATGATACTTGTAATGTGGGAATTGAAAATGCTAATAACAGTGCAAATATTTGTAATAAAAATAAATGTGATACACTTGATACTTTGTTTTGTAATTGAAATGAATATATTTGGAAATGTAGAAAACATCCAAAATATTTAAATAAATGCTATTCTATTATTGTTTAACAGAGTGATTAATCACACCGTTAATTTCTTAATCATGCAATTAATCATAATTAATATTTTTAATCACATAGCTAATCATGTTTTTTATTGTGTAATTTTTTAAAAATTGCTTGACAGCCCAAGCAGTAAGCAAAGCTAGTTGTGTTGTGGCTGCTTCCTTGGGATAGAAATGATGTGGTAGTACACCTGATACTTCTGTTTTGATTTTGCATCTTACTGTGGGGATTTGATCTTATCTCACTCTTCTAGTGCTGCTGTAAGAAGGTCAGGTGGCACAGACCTGCTATTGGCGTCTGGCTCCCATTTGGATGCCTTATCAAGTCTGACACAGGCTTGCGCATCACATTGGAATGTAAATCACATTAATTGAATTCACTTTGGCTGTGCTTTGGGAGCAGACAACTAAAGAGTAAAAAGCTCATTTACATCCCGATAAGAGAGTTTGAAAACCGATGCCTTCTAATGAATGAAATGTATGTAACTGGGACAGCTTGATATTCGCATTAAAGTGTTAATCACTTTGGCACACAAGCTATAGCACTGAGTAAATTTGTCTTCAAAGGGCAGTGAAATAGAAATCTATGGTTCTGGACTGCCAGAGCAACATATAGATGTATTTGTTCTTTTTTTTTTTTTTTTTTTGCATGCTCAGGAAGCAGGTGCTGGACTAATTAAAGCCTAATTTACAATGTGTCTCGTAGTCAGTGTTTGCGTGGGCATTGGGAGGACTGATATGGCAGAGATGAACAACCAACAACACACCTTAAAGAAGAGCAATGGGGAATTCATCTTGTCGTGGGACTCCCTAGTTAAGAGAAGGCTTGCAAAGGAGAATGCTTGGGACGTTTTCTACCTGGCTGCCCCTCTTAGAGAAAGCTGCTGCAGTCCAGTCCAGTACCTCAAAAAGTTTTAGGTTAAAAGGTTCCTAAAGCAAACCAATGTTGCCCTTTACACGAGGGCAGATTCATCCTTAGTGTGTCACTCAGACTTCATGGGAATGGCTCTTCTCTTTGTTAGACGAATGCACACTGAGATGCTGTTGTTGACAGCTCTGGGGCTACATCCTGGACCATCACTCTAAGGTAGGCAATAACTCGGCAGCAGTTTGTCAGGGTTAGTTCCTGATGGGCCGCCGTTGATATGGCCGCAGATACGAGGGAGCACAGCTCCTCTTGGCAGCAACCTGCTGTTCTTGGCCAATGGGAGCAGCAGGAAATGGAGTGGATTGGGACAGTGCTTCCCACAGCTCCCATTGGCCGGGAACAGTGATCAGTGGCCAACAGGAGGGGCGATCACAGGGCCCTGCGGCAGACAGGGTGATTTGGGGTGTTCGTTTGGCTGGCAACAGTCGTCGACTCTCAAACTTCATCAGAACGGCCATCTCTCCCGGCATTCTGTCTGCCGACAGTGGCCAAAGCCAGGTGCCCTAGAAGGAATGAACAGAACAGGGAACTGTGACGGGGCAGGCAGCAAGGCAGCGCTGCCCCGCACTGGAAGCAGCCCCGGATCGTGGGCTGGAGATGGGGAGGGGCGTCCGCACGGCAGCGGGCAGGCGGGGGAGAGGCGCGGGGGCGGGGGGGGGGCGCCC